AATAAATAAACAAATAAATAAATAAACAAATAAATCAATTAATAAAACGGTAGAGAGAATACTAGAATTCACAGGACTAAACACAGACCAAAGCAGCTTCAGCTTTAAGGCCTAGCATCCAACCTGTCTGCTCTGTAAGTGGAGTATGTTGCATCAAGCTACAGTTCTGAGCACAAGAAAGCCTTTGTATCTCTGGGGAACATTAATTCTTGCCGTGCAACCATAGTATCTATCATGCTTTAGGATAAAYTCAATACCAGGAAACATCAGAAAAAAAGACTGCTGTAAAGATGTGGAACAATCAAAGCTGAAACCAAAAGCAAAGAAAGAAAAGAAGAAACACGATAAACCTGCTCTTTCTTTTATCAAACACCAAATGACATAAATACAATAACATTGGAAGCAAAGAAATTGTATTGAAGTTATAAAGGGGATGTTTTTATGTTTCTTAAAGATGAAAATGTTTTGTTTATCTTTATATCAGTGACAACAGAGCATATTTCAAAATGCTCAAAATAAACTTATGTTGTTGGATCTGCCATAAATGAGTCTTCCCATCAGTAACATCATTTCAGCACGAACACTAATTRGTCCACTCATCTATGCAATCTGTGTACATTCGAATGCTTTAAGTGGATATATGATACAGACATGCACACAAACACATCGAGCTTCACACACACACAGAGATAGTYAGTCTGCACAAGATGGAAGGAGAGGATTAACATCCATTAATGCACAGCAGATGGGCATTAATCCTCTTCTTTCTCATTGTGATTATTGCTTCTTGCAAAGGRTGTGTTCTTCCTCTCCCTCCTCTTTCCCATCCCTCCCACACCTATAAGCCCACGAAAATATCTTCCCTCGAATGCAGGTCAGGAGTTGCACAGAAATAATCCGTATTTACAAATCCGCAGACAGCAGTCACCTAAATTCCCTCACTGTGACAAAAAGTGGATACAGACCCCCCACAGTGAGGTGCTGCTCGGAATAAAAGAGGAGCTCTGTTGTCGACCAGCAGTAAAGCGGCACTTCCTAAGAAAAAAAAAATACCGAGGCAACAAGCTTTGCAAGGATCATGCCTTTTCCATTACCCAAATCTTAGCAATTATTGTTAATAAAAGAACCATAAGCCATGCAGTCATTCACAGCTAAATTAGTGTTTCTATTTTCCACAATACTGGCACATTTATTGCCTGGTCCACTCACAATAAATCTTTCTTTCAGTTAATGCCACACTTACAACCCTGTTGGATGAAAAAAAAAAAACAAGAAATTTTGTGTAATATTTAATTGAATAGAATGCAATAATTGACATTTCACTGAAAGCCCACAATAAAAAGAGAAGCAGAAGAGGTGGGTCGTTCTGTCTAAAATCACAAATTAAACTGTAAAGTAGCAGTCTCCCCTGTATTTCTGTGTATCGGATTACAACAAATGTTTAATATTTATTACGTCGCAGGTACAGAATGCAGAGCAGAGGTTAATGAGCTTCTCTCACCAGATTGTTGATGCTACCCAGCGTGTGATTGGCGTTGTAGAGCGAGTAGGTCAGCTGGTAGACCCCATCGTTGGTCTGGCTGTTCCCATAGAAACCCACTCCTACAGCAGAACTGTCAAAAACAATTCAAAGAAAACACATTAACAGATCTGTGTTTTCCTCATGTCATTATTCACAAGGTTATTAAAATGTAAACATGTAACTGTTAAGTTTTCTTCATCTTGTCATTATGTCCTTTCAGGAATTCTGAATTTAAAAAGGAGAAATTAGGAATTTCTAAAATTGCCACCTTCAACGTCTCAGTGATTTAAACCTGCATTGTGTTTTGAAATTCATTACCGTGCCATTTCGTTATTCACGCTCTTCTCAAATGCAAACTGTAATATGACATTCATGTCAGCGCTCCCTTTCTCTTTTATTTCAGCTCATTTGATTTGCTAAGAGCCAGAAGGCAGAACAATCATGCAAACCATGGAGCTAAGACAGAAAATGGAAAACAATTTGTTTGCAATAATAGAAAACGTCATGTTAAACAACTGTGCATGTAGCCTGTGCAGCCAGTTGAACACTGACAAGAGAGAGAGAGAGAAAAAAAAAAAACATCTTTTGATAGTTTAGGTAAAATACGCCAACAGATTTAAACCTGTATTTTACCAGGAAAAATCAATAACAGGCATCAAGTACAGTATTTTGTAGAAGGACCTTTTGAAACATTTTTGAAAGGATTTTAAAGAGTAAGTTGTCGATCCAGTTGCAATAAAACCAATCATTTGGCATATTTATTCATCTGTATAACTTTTAGMATTCAAACTTCTGCATGTTTTGTATAATTTTAATTGGGCATGTATCAAAGTGTTCAGCTAAACTGTAATGTGTGTCGAGAGTTTTGGTTAATTTTATACATTTTAACTTATTAAACTTTATGCAAAACAAATTTCTCCATAGAAATGCATCAAATCTCTTCCCTTCCWTTTGAAACATTGTTGTTTTTATTTGCTTCAGTGTATTTGCTCTGTTTTTATCCTCATATGCTGCATTTAGCTTTCAGTTTAGCTACTGTTTTGCAAAGTTACATTTTAGCTCTGGCTTGCGTAATTATAGTTTTAAACTACAATTTTGTTAACTTTATCTTTTGTATACCGTTCGCAAAATCTTGTTTTAACTTTAATAATTCAGTTTTAGCTTCAACAAATTTCATCTCGCTGCGATGATTTTGCATTTACACAGAAAAAGCCAAATCTCAAGTTGGATTTGTTATTATCATTATTTTTTTTTTTACACATTTGCTAAAATAGTTTTAAGAGACTGGTTTCATTAAAAGACTAAATACATCTGAACGTAGAGTAAAAACCAGCTCTTCTTTGGTCTCATTTTCAGTTTTTGCTTTGAAATTCAAATGACTTATCAGGCATAACCGAGTTTTATTTTCCTGTTTTAATGTGTTTAGCGGTCACTCCAGCTGTGATTCTTTTTTAGCTGTCCTGTCTTCATTTTGCAGGTACACAATAGAATCTCCTGCCTGATTATTTTATCATTCTCTAAACCAGTTTCCTCTGGTTTGGACGAGGAAAACGGTGTTTCATGTTTWATCAAATCCGAGGGGGGAAAAAAATGCAATTACAGCAGTCCAGAACAAAAGTCCAGCTGCATGGATGTGGTTACAAAAAATACTTAATTCAGTAGGTGTATAAAGAAATCATACATTCCTGCTTGATGTTTTTCAAAGCATCTGTATTGAAGCTGAACTGTGTTGGCCTCCACAATGAGCTTCTTATTAACCCTSCTGCCAAAATGATACATCAGCAACAATGAAGACCAGCTAATGGRGCAGTAATGAAACAGTAATGAGACAGAACATCACGGGGCAGTTTAGTCTCAAGGGAAACATTAGGATTTTTGTGGCTGAGCAAAACACTCCCTATAGCCTGAGGTTATTTAAAAAAATAGACAAAAAAAGTCATGTCATGAACTTAACAAAGTGTTCACTTGAGAAAAATGCATAAATGTCTTGTAGTTTCAGCCATGTTYCCCTGACATTACTCCAAGCTGCTTCTGGGGCAACAGCAAACAAAAGAAGGGGCTTTTCATTTTTTCAAATATTTGCTTTATTTACTAAATTTAATTTAGCCAAATCATGATCCAGAATCATCATTCAGATGGAAGCAGGCACTTTTAAATCCATTATCTGTTTGAGCTGCAAATCTAATTAACGGTGCTAACCAAAAAGCCCCACAAAGGGAAAGACACACAACTGAGACAGTTCTTATTTTAAATGAAAGAACAAAGATARACAGCAGCTGCTGTTTTCCACACAGGTTGCAGAACAAACTCACTTCCTCCATTACCACCGGTGAATTGTCACAAACTGGAAAAAAAAAAGAAAAAACTTGACCATCTCAAACCACAAAACCTTGTTAACAGCAGTAATTGCTTTATGAAAATGAAATGGGACAAATAAATGTTTGGTGAACAGACTGCAGATCATAAGCGAGCTTACAGCTCGGAAACAATTTCAAACCATTTGAATTTGCTCAGACCATTTGTGGAAGCAAAGCCAAGGATCCTACAAGCTTGGCATTCAGCTTTTCTCATTCTTTATAATATAAATGATGAAATTGAATCAGGCCTGGTTACGTGTCTGTTTACAGCAACTGTAAAATTTTTATTAATCAGATGAGGTTCAGATTTGTTTCATCCAATAATGCGGGAAGTGGTGGAACTTTATAATTTTACATCTGTTTCCTTTGATAAAGAGTTTTGTCATCATGCTTTGAGTAATACTCAGACTCTTATCTGAGTATCTACGTAAGACGTGTAACCACTTAATTATGTCTAATAAATTACATTAGGCTGAAACGGATTCTAATCAATTAGGAGCTTCTCGAGGACAACAGGTCAAAGTGTTCACCGGAAGTCGGATGTTCACGTCACAAGAAACTGTTGAGCTACTTAAGAAGGACTTTACAAGATTTTATTTAGGATGGATTTCCACTCCTAAAATCTCTGTTGACGTTGTTTTTGAGGATCGTCATGGAAAGCAGTGAAAACGTCCCATACATAGCAAAAACAGAGGTTAGCAAAGACCATTCAAATGATTTGTAGTTTGTTCCAAGTCTATTTAAAATGARTCTACTTTAACAAGAAGTATCACGAGAAACTTTACCTAGAAAAAAATAAAAAATAATCTTATTCAACAGCATCACACGCTGTTACTTAGCTTTACAACAGTTCCTTGTATGCGTTGGTAGATGCTAGCTATGAATATAAAGCGCTAACAAAGTTAAAAGTCCAACTTTGTCGTAAATTTAATTAGATCTGTGCATGAATTTTGTTCTTTTCGTGAGGGTTGTTCTTTTTTCATTTTAAAACATGTTTTATTAAATTATATAAATAAGTACAAATACATCTGAGACATGAACTTGAGCGTCCCGCTTTGATTTCTAATTTAACTCTGACTGGGTGGCTGTGGCTCAGGAAGGARAAGCCGCTGGCTGCCAGTTGGATGGTTGATGGTTTGATCACGGTTTTCCCCGCCTGCCAGCTTGTCCTTAGGCAAGACACTGAACCCCAAGTTACCCCCAATCTGCACATTGATGTGTGTGTGTGTGTGTGTTGGTGTACAGGCTTTTACTACCTGGTGGGGATGATTTTTGGCCATTTTCCTGGTACACACAACTGGTAAGGATCCACTGTTCCTAATGGGGACAAAAGCTAGGTCTCCACTGGCAGATATACCATTTGTGGGTCAGGGGTTGGGTTCAGGACCAAGGTGTGAATTGTGTTTAGGTTAGTTTTAGTGTCAGGTAGGTACCTGTGAGGTTAGTTTTAGGGTAAGGTGTCAGGGTTAAGTCAATGCAATGTCCCCACGAGGATAGAAGAACAAACATGGGTGTGTGTGTGTGTGTGTGTGTGTGTGTGTGTGTGTGTTATAGAGAGAGACTGGTTTGTAATGTAAAAGTTCTGTGAATGGTCCAAAAAGGGGGGTTCATAAATGCTGTTTTGTTGTTTGTGAGTTAGTAAGCATGTAGCTCTAAAGCTTCATCTTATCTGAAAGCTTTGCAACCCATCTTCTTTGCATAAAAGTTTGATTTAGAATCACTTCAAGTGATCGAGATAATTGTGAACCTCAAATCGATGTTTCGAAAATACCAGATAACTGATCCTYAATTATTCTGCCTGTTTTTTTCTTCACTGCAGACAGACAGAAAGAATGTGCTGCACGTTTTGAGCTTTACAACAGTTCACTGATCAAAGGTCTTTTTGATTGTGTCTTTATGTTTAAAAGAAATCCGTGAACATCTTTCTTCTTACCACAGTTCTGGCTGATGTTACATCATGGGGGTAGATAATAATGCAGATTTAATAAAGCTGGGGCTTTCTTTGTGGAATCTGACTTAATAAAATCTAAAACCCACATCAGAGAACTTTGTTAGCTCTCTCTTCAGGCTCAAGGAGAAATCAAATAAGAGGGACAACTTGTTGTTCTTGGCATTTTTTTAACATCCCTTTTAATTGCATTGACACATTATTTATAAAATATTCAGGTTGTTCTAATGAAAAAGAACAAAAAAAATCATGTATTGCATTTAGCATTTTTGAACATATTTGTTAAAACTCTCACTATGTCCTGACAGTAGAATATGATACAGATCATTTTGACTCTCTAAACACAAAATGCTCTAACCAGGTTAAAAAGAGACATTTTTGTGATGCTGAAAACCTAAGTCGTTAATCTTGCGTTGTGGCACCCACCCAGCATGATGATGCCTGTGACGTTTTAAAGTAGTGTTGCTCTAAARGCTATCAGTCAGCATGAACAAAGTAAAAAAACTGTCGGGAACAACACAAGCAACAAGGTCAGAGGTTTAATTCAATTCAATTCAAAAATACTTTATTGATCCCAGAAGAAAAGATATGTATACTGTAACAAGCAGGTAGTATTTGACTTTTCATGCTCACCATATCATGAGGCCTGTGATAACAGCAGCCCAGGTGGCACAGCAGGTATCAGGCCTTTTGGTTTCTTCATCCAGCCTCCTCCTGCTGCAGCACAAACACACCAGGTACACTGCCAGAGCCAGCAGGCTCAGACCAAGACCCACAGCACCAGCGCACGCAAGAACTATTAGAGACTAGAAGAGAAAGAAGACAKAAAGAATTTAAATACCATCTGTTAAACATGTGTTTGTTCCTGAGAATGTTGATGCATTGTTGGCACGTTTTATCTCCAGAATCAAAAGTTATTATCTCTTGTGTTTCTTTGACTAACTGAGGCCCTAAACCTTGAGGTTGACCTCCCAGGGGGGAAAACAGCCAGCTTTTTATCAACCACAGCATGTTTAAAGATCTTGTCCAGATTAACATGGAGCTGCTTCGTCGTTAAAATCAACACTATTACTGCTGACTGCTGCTCACAGCGACAAAAAAAATAAAAATAAAAGAGCAAAGAGAAGCGCAAGACCCGTTTGTGGGTTTTATGGCAACAGCTTACAAGATTTTTTATGTGGAGCGCCACAGACCGGACTGTGGCTCGCAGGGAGGCAGGAGGGAAGAATCCAAGGTCGTGTGGAGGGGGGGGAATCATGTGACTCATAGGCTTTCGCTCGGTCTTGTGATTTCTGAGTGTACAAAATATTTAAAGCCTGAACATGGACACAGACYTACACTAGTGTGGAAAAAACAAAAGGAAAATATTAAAGGAGTTTTTGGAGACTTGAGCGTAAAAAAAAATACACAACTTCTCATTTAATTCTGTGATTTTGAACTTATATTACTTTAATGTTCGACTCGTTTGCAAGCCTGTGAGGCAAAAGCATGAACCTAACTTAGCAATACTTTACATTTTTAAAAGTTTGCTACCCACAAGTTCAGAGAGTGATGGTGGAGTGARAAACCAGTTTGTATTTCATCATGAACTATTTATTCTCCTTGGGTTGCATCTGCAACATGTATTTTATCTTGACACGTTTTGTGTATTTTGACAGACT